TGCTATTTGTGTTCATAGATTAATTGCTTTGGAAGTTCATACCTACACAGCATCTATACTACATCTTATCAGAGCCTATAATGTACCTGTAAAGGAACCACTAAAGAAGCAAGGGACAAACATTTCTTTGACAAAGGTCTCACCTTTCTTGGCATAGTTAAGGTCCACATCTTTGAAATGAACTACCATTACATCTGAGGACTTGAAGATGATGCTCTCCACAATATCCTCACGGCGAGGGCCCACATTAGGTTCTACACTCTTCCTGTGTGCAGCATCCAGGACAATATCACACTGCAGATGCACAGAACAAAACCATATAGGGGAAAAATGTCATATGTACATAGATGTAGAATAAAAGTGAATATATATTTTTTTTGCTGCCCAGTGATTTAAATGTTTGAGATTAGTTACAGAAATTCCTCTCCTCACCTCTGGGCCATAGGTCTTAAAAACTCCTTCATAGATCAGTCCGTTTTTAACCTTAAGTTCACATTTGGTACCCTGTTGAGTGGTGAAGCACAAAACCAAATTGTATTGGTTTTATTTTGGTAAAGAGAATGACGACATAAAAACAAAAAATATAACAGCTGCAATATGAACAAACAAACATTTTTTTCAGTCTTGTGCATTTGGACTCACCACAACTGAGGTCAAAACATGAACCATCCTCATGTTTGCATAAACTCCACTGAAGGCCACCTTAAAAGATAATTGAAAAAAAGAAAGAGCATTATTTCGGTCTGCGGTACAGCATTATACAAAAATATTTATATTTATACTGTATTTAATTTAATTGGTTGAGCAGTGTTCAATGTGCTGATATACAGTTCAACAGGGGACTTTTTCATGTTTTCTCAGTCGGCTTGAAATGGAGAAATTTTAAATGTGAGTCAATTTAGAAAATCAATATTATGAATAAATAAGAGAAACTGAAAGAAAGGATACTCACTGCAGTGGAGGGTCCTTTGGCATTGTTGCGTCCTCTGGGAAGAGAGGAAACAGAATGATTGATAAGCTTGATAAGAGATCATTTATTATCAAATGGATACATGGAAATGTTTGATATGCTGTATACACAGTTTGCAGAGCCAAAAACCATTTTTACCAGGAACAATAATTAATGTGATACCAATGGAACTGTCAATTGCACATGCACTGGCATACACCCAGAGCTGCAATGACAAGGGAGTGACAGATAATCATATGCTTCATGCATTTCATTGTGCAAAGAAGCACTTGTGAAGTTCCCAAACAACAAGCTTAGGAAAAATCAGCATTTCGCTGAAAGGACATGATTCATAGCCAATGACGACATTATACCTCAAACATGCGAGAATGAGAGCTCCTAAATTATAAAGTGATCATCTACACATGTTGGATGAAATAGCAATGAGGTCTCTAATGTGTAACAAGAATGAGTTCAGTGCACATGATCTGGGTACAAATTATCAAGTGCTTCAAGTCCATTCAAATAAATTAGAGAATAAAAGCTGTGAATGACAGTCCCTTTTCAGCAGCCAAAGTACAAATCAAATGCTGTATTACAGGTGGTGTAAGGCTTCACTGCACCACTCAAGATTCCCACAGTTTCTACAAGTCATAATACTCTTGTTGTTCCATGTAAACAAGAATAAAAAAATGTCACCATGCAGTGTGACTATGCGATGCCAATGAAGGCCTCTCTGCCTCTCAAGCTGTAGCAATAGACATTTCCATGTACGTTTAAAGCACACAAAAAATCCTATCAATATTGTTCGTGTATCACATCGTGCTCTAAAGGTACACACTTACACAAATGTCATCTAGCAAGGACGGACTTAATACACGCAACCTCTTGGAAACGTCAAGGTTGATACAGTGGTCTGACTTTCCCATGTGAGCGCGCACCGCCTCTCATCGGCAACGCACGCGACTGACAAATTGTTCCAGCCGTGAAAGGTTCGTCTCCCAAACGAACGGGAAAGACGCAATTCTGACCCGTGTCCTCGAGTTAACCAAAATCAAGAAAACCAAAAACGGAAGCTGGGTTAATACCATTCTCAATAGTGACACAGGGAACTAACATGTGACTTCTCATATTGGATGATGAATTCCCATAATGCCAATTCACAGGCTCTCAGAACGGTTTAAAAACCAGCTGACAGTTCTTAAATGTTCTTATACGACAGATAAAAAAGAAGATAAAAGTGTAGCCACCTTGGCATTTTGTTGGGACTGACACAAGTCAAAGGCAAACGATGAAACGATGCAGAAATAATGTTCTAAGGAGCTCCTGATTGTAACGTTATTTTCAGATATTCCTAAATTACATTTATCAACAAACTAGACTGTCATGCGGATAAGAGCGACAGATAGTAACGGTGTAAGCAAATAAACGTTGACTAGTTAGCTCGCTAACAACACTACGATGAATTGTATATCGCTGCTGATACTCTCATTTTATGGCTCGCAAATCATTTCTTTTAACGTTGCTCAAATGTGAAACCCGTTCAATCCCATTATACAGTCGGAAACGATAGAAATGCATCAGTCTAGTGGGGCAAAGCTGTCATAGTCATATTTCACCGGCAAAGACACTAACGTTATTCATCCTGAACGTGTTCATCACAGCAGACAACCCGCCCCTCTCAAATATTCAAGCACATATTGTCCGCTATCAGCTGTTATGTTATAACCGCGATGGCTTTGTGCCCATTAACGTGTGAATCTCTGTCCTGTGAACTTGGCCTATATCGGCCTACTTGCGCTCAATCCCGACCACTGCAACTTCACAACCTGCGTTTTTAAACTACGACACAAGTGCAGGCATGCCGCATCCCCCGCTAGGTTCACGCTCGCCCGTCCTCCAAATTAAAACCCCTTCGTGTTGCAGATTCGGCTCTCACCTTCCTATGTTCTGGTGTCCGACGCCTCCTCCTGCTCCCCCGGTACCTGAGGCCGCTGCGGCTCCGCTGTTGCTTCCGCCGGGTTTGCGATTACCACCGGCCTGCGGCTTCATGGACATGGTGATCCCATAAACGACAGCTTGAGCAGAGTTTTCTGACTGTTTGAGAAAACGTTTTACACCGCGGACGAGTGCAGAATATGCTATTTGACGCGTTAGCTGACAGTTGATCTAGTGACAGCCAGCGTGTAAAGCTACTCCTCCAGTTATTCCAAGTCTCCACTAACGCTGCCTGCTACTTCAGCTAGCTAGCTCTGCTGATTTAATTCCTGCTAAACAGAGACAATTTAGCCCGTTTTAAAAGCAGAGCGCGGACAATCCATATGTTTTAGATGTCAACAAAAAAACCAAGCCGGTAATTTCGCTTTTTTGTTATTTTAAGTGCGATATTTTCAGTGATATACACAGTTCACGCGGGGCTTCAGCACTGACCGATAGACCTAAACAGTCTAAAAGCCACAAAAAGTGGCGGAAGGATATATACTCATCCCAGGAACGTGTGCACTCCTTTTGACGGTTTTATTTGTTCTACAGAGAAATTATCATCAGTACTTACTGTAAATATGCCTGGAACGTGATACGTTATTTAGTTGATAATGGAAATTAATAAATGTCGGTTTTGGTGAACGCTGCTCTTATATGGAGCGCACTATTTTCAGCAAATGCACGGATCACTTTAAACGTTCGTGCTTTGACACTAGTAGGCCAGGTGACTGGTGTAATATATATTGTAAAATTCCTCAAGCACTATGCGCAGTTATTCTGATCATTTTATTTGTTTGTTTGATTGTTTGTTTAAATCTGCATTTTGTTTGTCTTTAGAGGTCTAAGCAGTGATTAAAATACATTGTTATCCTTATGGAACCCAATCCGTATGGTTCTCCAGATAAAGTGTTTCATTGTATCAATGTTTCTTTTCTCTAAGCTTGTAGTAAAATAAAGTCTTGAGAAATATATTTATTCACCCATTTTAAACGAGTGGTTATACATTCCTCGTTGGTTGGCAGGAGTTGGGTAAACTGAGTTGAATTAACTTTTGTACATTTTGTGAAGAATCACACAAATAAAAAAATTATGATACATTTGATAGGGAAGAAGCACACTCATGATAAACTGGATATTGCAAGGTATATGGAAACCAGGGCTACTTTATAAACTTTTTAAAATATTAATATAAAATAATACATCTCAATAAAGGTTTCAAATGAAAAAAACAAGTGCAGTTATATAAGTACTTGTTTACTAGCAGTGAAACTCTAGCAATGGTTTTATATGTTGTTGTTGTTCTTTTGTATGTGGCTCAAAACACATAAACTGTTATAAACTGTAATCATCTGAATACCTGGTTGGTAAGCATGACAATGAAATAAAACCACATTGGCATACATACAGTTAAATTTCAGTTAGTGTACAGGTAGGATTTTTTAACTGAGTAGTTGAGCTGTACTATGAGCTGTGCTGTTACCATATTTGTTTGTTTGTTTATTTACTCATAAACTGTTTATTTTTTTCTAACTGTCTAAAAATGCAAGTCTAAATTTAAAAAATACACACCACCGTTCAAACGTTTACTTTCTTTTTAAAATAAATTAATAGGCTACTTTATTCAGAAAGGATGCATCCAAATGTACAAAAAATTCTGTTTTTTTTACTTTCTACTCAACAAAAATCCTGTATTTTCATTAAAAATATTACATTTCAGTACTTCACTTCTTTTTATGAAGGATTTTCCTCAGCAAAGCTGTGCGTTGCCCCCACACGTGACCGTATCTTAGCAACGGTAAGCGTGGGTAATTAGAGTGGATAGGTAAAGAAAAACTAGACATTCGCATTGGCAAGATTACAAGCAGTATTGCACTTGTGTTCGCGTATTATTCAACTCAAAGCTTTTTAAACAAACCTTTGGCATAGATAATTTCGACTGCACAGAGACTAAATTAGCCTGGCTAACCGCCACGCGCAGAAGTTCTGGTGTTTGCATCTGTAACATCGTGAATCTGGTTGTGGCCCGGACAAATTCTCCAGCTTTTCCTCTCGCAAGTCATACAGAACAATGTCAACGACAAACGGGACATCTACTGCATCTGACAGGACAGATGCGGAAACTGAAGACGCAGGTGAGCAGATAAACACAGAGGATAACCAGATAGAGAAAGAAGTACACGATGAAGACGAAGAAGGAAGAAGTGAACTATGCAGTCTGCAAGAGGATATTGCAGATTCACAAGTTTACACAGCCACATCACTGTCTGTCATTTCCAAGGAGACCAGAACCAAAACTCACCCACTGGTAATGATTCGATCAAATTCATTTTAATTCCTTTAAAAAAACATGTAATTATCTTTAACGTTAATTAGTTCGTCCAAATAACTACAATGCAACTACAATGTTATGTCACAGCGTCTTCTAAAACTAAAAATATTTTATTTCACAATGACAACAGGTCATATATTATGCATGGCTATTTTATGTAATGACAAGTTGCTTTAGGAGCTAACAAGATTGAACAATAATGATCTTGTAAGTTTAAAATTATTTTATTGTCAAAAAGCTAAAATTTGTTAATGCTATACCCACTATACCTCAGTTTTTTCAGACCTGGATCTAAATCTTTGTATTTTGTACTTGCAGGTCCTTGATTGGGCTTATGGGATGAACCAAACTCTACCTGTTCTCAGTCTGCAGGATGAAGACAGACTTGTCATCTTGTACATTTGTGCCCATGTTGCTGTCATGTATGATCACACATCCAATGCTCAGCATCTTTTACAAGTAAGAGGCTCATACTGCTACAAACTAAGAAAGTAAATGATAATGAAGTTAAATATGATCTAAAGCATAAAATCTTATTGTAAAAATGTTGCTTATGTGCTGTTTAGTGTCTACAGATACACATACTGGTAAAAAATGTATAGCCTGAATGCACTGTAAGTCGCTTTGGATAAAAGCGTCTGCTAAATGCATACATTTATTTACAGGGCCACTGCAGTCCAATCACATGTTTGTGTGCAAGTGAAGACAGACGCTGGCTTGTGACAGCTGACATGGGCCAGGAGAGTCTAGTTATCATATGGGATGCTTATACAGGGTAACACTGACCCAAATATTGTACATTCCATTAATACTATTTGTGTAAATCTGCTTGATGGTCCTGTTAAAGTCATCGTTTTTTGACGTACATCCAAGTTAAATGGATTATTGAAAAGAAATAAATGTTGGGCTGGATTTGGTTCTATTGATTGGATGGAGGCAAATCAGCTGAATGTGAGCTTGCAGTCGATTGTAAGAAAGTGGGGTTTAGGCAGACTAAACGATTGGATAAGTCCGGCATACATCACCAGAGAGAAGTCTGTCGCTTCACTGTAAAATCAAGTTATGACATTTTGATTAAGAATTATGAGGTCAAAATTATGTATAATTCACAATAAGATCTATAACATGAATTTACAAAATAGACAAGGTGAATTTTCTTTTCTTTCCGATCCATAACATGTTGCAGGATTCCTGTGCGGACATTGTTTGACTGTCATCCAGAGGGTGGAGTTTCTGCCATGGCCCTATCAAAGGATTCAAAATACCTGGTGACTGTTGGAGCTGCAGCAGTACAGGTCTGAAACCTAACATTTTATGTTGTCGATCATATTTTTACATAGGCTCACTGTAGATATCTTATGTCGTCTTAGATGCACCTATGAGGAGCGATGTATTCCCAGCATCTATTATGTGTATAATAAAGATGATTGCAGTTATCAAATGAAACCACAGAATATTATCACTGGCTACAAATACACTGATTGATGTACTTTTTTTCTGTGCATCAGCGCGTGTGTATTTGGAACTGGACAGATGAAAGTGAAAGCCCAGAATGTCAAGTTGACCTCAGCCCAAAATATGGTTGCCAGGTATGTTGCAGAACTGTGCACTGATGTGGTTATTACACAGAGGTAACACATAGAGAGCTAAAAAACAATAATGTCTTAATTACACATTTATTGTTTCTTTATGAATACTGGCTGTCACATCAAATATCAAATGAACTTTTTCCATGTTTTCCCAGAGTCAACTACTTTTCAATCCCTTTGACAACACACAGTTGGTCAGCAACAGCAGCACTCAGGTTCTCTTCTATAACTGGGTAGGAATTCATTAATTATTTAGATTACTGATTTACTGTTTTAGTTTTCTTTGTATATAATAATACATTCTGCTGCTCAGGAAAGGGGACATCTGGAATACTCAGCTCCTGAAATTACTGACAAGGTTGGCAGAAGAATCTTTCATCAGATTCAATTTTTGTGCTGTTGTGATGTTATTCTTCTCTGCCATTGGCATTGACCTCTTGCAAATCTGTCACCATTCAGACCTTCAATATGGTGCTAGGTTCCCTGAGCCAGTCCATCTTCCACTATGATGGTGTGCTGGCTTTTACAGCCACCTCAGCTGGGAATATAGTTCTCTGGGACAAGCAGACTCAATCTGTCTCTCGTCACCCAGTAGTGAGGAAAGCCGTAAAGCTTGTGCCTCTCCAGAAGGAAGCAATCACTGTACTGACTTTGATTGACAGGTATATATGACACATAGATACAGTATATGGCAAATGAGTGCATTAGGAATTTTCAAATAAATTCCAGTAATCCTAAAGCCTATTACATTTTCACTTGCTGTATGTTTCACTTTGCTATGCATTTGATGTTTTGTTTTTGTCTGTCTGACATTATTTTATGAAAATATATTATGTGTATACTGTCAAGTTTTATAGTAACAGGCGATGTGAATGGCCACATCAAATTCTATGATGGAAATCTCAAGCTCATCAACGTGTACAATGAGTTTAGCTTGGATCCTATCAGATCCATCTCCTTTTCCAAAGAAAAGCCCTCCATTAGCGACCTGGGATATCCAAAAGACTGCACACTGAATGCCAAGCCATTTGTCATAAGGTGGGGGACTCAGAAAGATTTCAGATTTATTATAATAAATGTGCCATACAAAATAATGCTTTAAAAATTTTACAATTTATGTGCACGTTAGCATTATATATATGAATTATTCTATATGATATTTTGTTTTACTTTACTGAATTAGCATTTATTACAAAGATTTCAAGTCCTCAGTTAAAAGCTAAGACTGCTAACAAGAGTGCTAACAAGATTGAATGCACCAATCCATGTAACAAAGTACATTTAGAGTTATGCTTAAAGAGGATTCTATATGATATTTTGTTTTACTTTACTGAATTAGCATTTATTACAAAGATTTCAAGTCCTCAGTTAAAAGCTAAGAGTGCTAACAAGATTGAATGCACCAATCCATGCAACAAAGTACATTTAGAGTTATGCTTAAAGAGGGAAACATTTAAATTCTGTTCAGCTTATCATTTATTGATAATAAATGTATATTGACTATTTATATTGACTTCCATTTATATGGACAAAAATATTGAGGCATTCTGAATATATCGTCTTTTGTGTACCACAGACAAAGATAATTTGTAAAGGTTTGGAACAACATGAGGATCAGTACATGATGTCAGCATTTTAAATTTTTTGGGGGTGAACTGTCTCTTTAAAGTATGGTCAGTTGTAAACTCTGCAATGCAATAAAATGTTTCTCTCCCTCCATTTACAGAAATTTTGTTCTCTCCACAACTCATGCAACTGCAGTACATGTAAACGCACAGAGAAATGTTCCACAGACCCTTCTAAAGGAACATGTAGAACCTCTAGAAGCATGTAAAGGTTTGGAACAACATGAGGATCAGTACATGATGTCAGCATTTTAAATTTTTTGGGGGTGAACTGTCTCTTTAAAGTATGGTCAGTTGTAAACTCTGCAATGCAATAAAATGTTTCTCTCCCTCCATTTACAGAAATTTTGTTCTCTCCACAACTCATGCAACTGCAGTACATGTAAACGCACAGAGAAATGTTCCACAGACCCTTCTAAAGGAACATGTAGAACCTCTAGAAGCAGTTGCCTGCCATCCTAAACAGCCACTAGTAGCTATGGGCAGCCACAGTGGCACCATTAAGGTTTGGGATTATGAGCATAAAAAAGCAGCCTGCAGCAGGGTCTTCCAGCCCCACAAACAGATCCAGTGTATTACCTACGATCCACAAGGTGAACTAGAAAACAAGACCTCACTCATATTAAAATACAGTTCATATATGTAAAAACATTTGACATTTCATGTTGTTTAATGGCACATTGTCTAATTTAAGAGTTTAAGACTGCTTGCATTCAATTTATACCACATATTAAACACATTTTTTTACAATAGCAAATGTTTGTATGGATGATGTGATTATATATATACTATCTGAGTATGTATGTGTATGAATTTGTCATGTTTTAGGTTTTTACCTGGCAGTGGGCTTTGCCAGTGGGGCTTTGCAGATTGTTGACGCCTGTACACTTCAGAGTGATGGTAAAGAGGGTTTGCACTACAGTCAGGACAGCATTACCCATCTAACTTTTTCCCAGGACTCACGCTACCTGGCTGCCGCAGTTAGTAGGAGTTGCATTTTTCTTTTAGTTCAGTTTGTACTGCCCATTTCAGCACAGACTGTTTTGTGAACCTGTCACATTGAGAAATAATGTGAAATGAAAATTTAAAATATGACTGTTTTTGTCACAAAAACGTTGCTAAGATTTTAAGTGGACCTCAAGGTTTACTTTTTACTATTAAAACTTCGACTGTAACAGCAATGTTCTAGATTTTATGAGGGCATTTTTGTTATGTAGATCTATATTTCCTATATGTATTTTTCTTATTTCAGGACACTGGAAAAGCTGTGACGTTGCTCCGTCGATGTAAAGAGGGGACCCAGGAGGTTTGGAAATACCAGGGCAGGCACCACTCGCATTATAAACCCATTCAGGACCTGCTGTTTGGGGTGGATTTAGACAGCAGTCAGCCTCGCCTCCTCTCTCTTGGCATGGATCGCTGGCTGGTGAGTCCCTGTGTTCCTGTATGATCTTGTACCCTTGGTATGCGGTTAACAACGTATCACATCTATCCTGTCTGTTCTGAACAGGTGGAGTATGATCTGCAGAATAGTGGTGAAGATGGGTTGTTGATTTTGAGTTCTGAACGTATCGAGCAGAGTGCTGTGCCCACCTGCATGATGTGGTATCCTCCTCTGACACCTGAACACTTCCTCCTTACAGCTTCCAACCTGTATAAGATGAAGCTCTTCAATGCTACCTCCAAAATGTGCAGGTTTGCTGTTTTCCTATAGGCAGAACAAATAGAAATATCACTGAAATAACAAACGGCAATCTGGTTGATTTATTTGCAGAATTTCAAATGAACCAAAAGTCAAACCATTCTGTCTCAATATGATTTGTAGAGAAATTAAAATGGAAAAAAATGATTACACCTACCTCAAATTGGTATGACTACGGACAAATGATCAGAAGATTCATCCTAAGTACTGTACATTTGTCATCATAAGTGAAGGGAAATTACTTAATGTTAAGTGAGGTAACTAATGTAAAGGTCAGTGGATTTACAGGCTTCCTGAAGCTCAAAATAATTAAAGAGGTTGTCAACCAAAAGGACCAAATAGGAAAAAAAATAATCTGGTTTTATTGCTTGGATTTTTGAAGTAAAACACACTGAATAATGTTTATCACAATTTTATGCATAGTTAGGTTAAACACAATATAAACAAGGTAATAAGAAATAGAATGGCCCTCTTTAACATTCTACACCTTAACTATTAGATGGTATTATTATGTATTGAATTGGGTTAGGATGACAGCTCTGTAAACGAGTTTATGCTGTAGGTGGGATTATAAAAATTGAAGCAGGAATGCTATATTTGTGATGCTCCAATGCTATATTTCCAAATATATCAGCAAAGCCACAGACCGAGTGCCAAAAATAATCACAGCACTAAAGTTAGCATGATTTTTTCTTTCATACAACAGTTCAATAAACAAAAAGTTGCAGTTCAATAAACAAAAAGTTACTGGCAGCCATATCACCCTGCAGCCCAAGATTGGTTGCCCACTGAAGCTAAGCAGGGTTGAGCCTGGTCAGTACCTGGATGGGAGACCTCCTGGGAAAACTAGGTTGCTGCTGGAAGAGGTGTTAGTGAGGCCAGCAGGGGGTGCTCACCCTGTGGTCTGTGTGGGTATATATATATATATATATATATATATATATATATATATATATATACATATCTGTGGTCTACACTGGATGCTGCACGACACGACACGACAAATCCCCGACAGAAAAGTGCTGCTGCATTCTATTCATGACGTATTGACACAAATTTCAAATGATTTTCAACGGTCGCTTTGTCGCGTCCAGTGTACTAGACAGACCTTAGCTGTTGCGGCGCAGACACGGTGTTACTCACCTATCGAGAAGAAACAAAGCAACCTCGGCATCCAATTCCAATTCCTCCAAATCCCTTCCGCTCCTTGAGTTCTCTCCAGCGCTGGAAAGCTGATTTGATATTTACACGGGTCCTACTTCTTGCCTTATTGCCTTAAGCCTTCTTTTGTTCCGCAGACATTTTCCTCTTTTGTTTTTTATCCGCCATCTCTATCTTTCTGTCGCTCGGCTCGCTAATGTCTGTCCTGTGCAGTGTGCACTGAACGCTCTCTCCTCCACATCATGAGTAGACACGCCCCTTACTGCTGATTGGCTACAAGTTTGTTTTGCTAGTCGGCCCGAATCAGTTTTCTAAAGCGTTTTTGGAAAATCGCTTACCCCACCTTTAATAGTAGTATAATAATGAATTTAAAATGTTCTTTTTAGGATTGTAACTGTATTTGCCACCTCACAATTCTGTTGTTACATTTGCATATATGCAGATCATTGGAGGCATCAGCTGCTCTTGGAGGGAAAGACATGCTGCCCTTCTACAATCTTCTGGAGGGAGGGAGAGATGGACAGCTCTTCAGGGTTTGAGATCTCTGTTCTAATGCTTTCTTTTTTCTCATTGTCCTTTATGTATTTTTTTAGCAGTTTTTCAGCATTTACCTAATTTCATCCTAATAATTAGTTTCATAATGCTCTCTTAACATGTTACCAGGCTTACCAATAGACAGCAAATCTTATGATTTGTCCTTTAGGAAATGGAGGAATATTTTTACTACTGTCAACTACAAAATCAGGACCTTGACACCATGGATACACGGCTTGTGTCCACATGCATACCTCTAGCTGATGTGCCCTTCTTAATGAGAGCGCTTGGCTTCTATCCAACAGAGCAAGAGGTATGAGTGTTGTTGCAATCACAGTTGACTCTACCATACAGATCTGTCATCGATGGGTCGACTACCACTCAATCTTTTGTCAACACATGCTTGTTTTGTTTTGTTGAAGCTGGAAGACATGCAAAATGAGGTGAAGTTCAGCCGCTATGCTGAGACCAGAAATTACGTGACAGACATCGATTTGGAGGAGTTCATTAAGCTGTATGTCAACCACAGACCTGCCTCTGGCATTGCCAGACAGGAGCTGTGCAATGCCTTCCAGGTGCTTGGAAAGCCAGACGAAAGGGGCAGATATACAATTGACAGAGACGAACTGCTGGAGTTACTGCAGGCTAGAGGTAATACATTTTTATGAGCTTTACCAGTACTTTACATTTGGTAACTTGCAATATGACATACCAGAGAAATTATAATTAAAGGTGCAGTAGGAGATCTTGGAAAATGCTATCTTTAGCCTGATAGCACTAAACGCGAACGTCCCACCCTCCCTGCAATCGCCGTCCAAAGCCACGCCCCCTGAACGCATATACACTCACAGACCAGAATACCAGAGACAACATTACTACAATAGGCTACATCAGCGGTTCTCAATTCCAGCCCATGTTCCGAAGTGAAGTAAACAAAAAACGGATTTCCCCTGCTCAGGGAGTAGGGAGCAATGAACACTGTGTAGGGATCATATTGATCGGAACACAGTTCATGCACGTAGCTCAATTCTAACGAGCTGGATATCTGAATCGGGTGTGTTAACTAAGCGAGACATGCAAAATATGCAGAGCGGGGGGGAGGCGCGAGGACTGGAATTGGGAACCACTGGGCTACATCATGTGTCATTCACCGGTGAGAAAACTTTAAAAGTACTACAATACCAGGAAGGAAGATCGGGTTGTTGATGAAGTCAGCAGCCTCACTCAGAAAGACGATAATAACGGTCATATTTTCAAATTTAGAAAGGCGTTTCATTGTCCAGTTTCCTGGATGACACGCAGATTAACCAATCATGATCAAAGCAATAAAGTAAAACAACCAATAGGAATTGTTTCAGCGTGGTAACGCAGCAAAATTGATTTAGTTTTATTGTTGTTAATGATGATAATATTTAACATATACCTTTAGATTTTAGAATAGGTTTCATGATCAAAATATTGTAAAATGCTAATAAAATAATAGTAATGATCTTAAAGAAATTTATTTTGTATGCTGTTGAAGACATTAAAGGAGCAGTAGGAGATCTTGGAAAATGCCAACTTTAGCCTGATAGCACTGAAAGCGAACGTCCCCACCCTCCCTGCAACCGCCGTCCAAAGCCACACCCCCTGAAAGCATTTACGCTCACAGACCAGAATACCAGAGACAACATTACTACAATAGGCTACATCAGCGGTTCTCAATTCCAGCCCATGTTCCGAAGTGAAGTAAACAAAAAACGGATTTCCCCTGCTCAGGGAGTAGGGAGCAATGAACACTGTGTAGGGATCATATTGATCGGAACACAGTTCATGCACGTAGCTCAATTCTAACGAGCTGGTTATCTGAATCGCGAGGACTGGAATTGGGAACCGCTAGGCTACATCATGTGTCATTCACCGGTGAGAAAACTTTAAAAGTACT